TGATTAAATTGCATATTTTTTCGTTCACTGTGCAGTAGATGTAGAATATGTTGCGGTGAAGCCACTGTGTATCCCTAGTTTCCTCATTCTGTATGATCCGTCAAATCACGAGTGCCTCTCCTTCGTTTGGGGGAAGTTGATACTCCTCATCGTGATCCTCAGCTCTCTCTCCTCGTCGCCCATCTCTTCCTGTGGCGCCTTAATCTGTGAGTGTGATTAATCTGCTCACGGGGCAGTTGGAGGCAATATAATCGTAGTCATGGCATCGATAACACTTCCTGACTGGTGCCATGGAGGAGCTACCATTCTATTTCTTCCCACTTTAACCCGTAGTGTCATTCCCCTATCTGAGCTTGCCAGTATCTCTCGGGATATCCCTGTAAGTTGTGGTAACTGTAGGTGACAACCTACCTAAAGGTTGTTGCCTGAAAGTTGATTGTTGTTGGTTATGCTTCAGTTGTCTTTCAACCTTCAAGGCTGAAGTATGGACATCTCCTTGTATCCAGATTCCCAATTTTAACCCTAAATGCCATAAGTCTCCAAAGCACCCCCAATTTCCACCAAAATGATTTCAAACTTCCCCAATTTCAAATCCAAATCAAATTTCATCATGTCCTAACCTATTTGAAACCAAATTCTATCCCGATTGAATACAATCTTAAGCCCAAATTCCAAGCTTAATCCAAATGCCCCAAATTGTCCCTAAGCCAAAATTCCATCAAATTGGACGCCCTAGCCTATTCAAATCCACCAAATTCACTTCTTAAACTCTTCATAACATTCCCTTAAACCAAATTGAGCCCTCAATTGACTTAGAAACAAAATCAAGCCTAGTCCAAATTCAATTCAAACCAAAATCCCCAATTTTGCCCAAAAACTCAAATCTCATCAAATTGAATCCCATAGCCTCTCAATTTCCACCGAATTGACTTCCCAATGCCTTATGATAATCTTCTAAATCAAATTGGCCAATCAATTGAGCTAAATCCAAACTCTAGATAAGCCTAAACCCCCACCCAAACCAAATTCAAGATTTTGAACCCAAATTATTGATGGTCGGTTTCAGACCCTCAAGATATCTGGCTGCCTTCTTCATCTGCAAGTGGTCGAATTGGGTTGTGAACTCCTCAACTGAAAGATCATTTTGTTGTAAGTTGTGGATTTTCAAAAACATGTCCCGGCACTAGCGGGGTGGGAATTACTTTTTCTGCATCGTCTTCTTCTATCTTCTCCCACTTAGTTATCTTCTCGTTGTCTTCTTTCTTTCACTATTTTTACAGATTTTCCCAGCATAAGGAGGCATTTTTATTCAGTTTAATGGCAGCTAGCTTGACTTGTTTGTCCGGTGATATATCTTTATATTCGAAAATCCGTTTAATTGATTGCAGTCAGTTGATAAACTCATCGGAATCCATACCAACAAATTATGGGAGATCTTGATGGCAAAGTCTCGCTGACATTCATAAGGGAACTCTTCTCTCGACCTCTTTTGATATTGGATACCAAGACAATGCGGTCAATAATCCTCGTCACTGTGAACTTCATTATGGAACAGATTCAGATCCTTGTCCCTATCTTCCCCTCTACTTTCTCGATCACGTTCTAAGGTAATCTCTTGTTTCCGTCATCCAACTCGGCTAGTCTCCGTTGCAGGCGACAATTTCTCGTTTGATATCTTCTCGTGTAGAGCCTGATGTATCTCTTCATGGTGGCATGCCTAGACTTGGGAACCGGAAGGAAAAAAATTTGATAGAATTGGATTGGGTAGGGTCGAATGCCCGAAAACCCTATGATGGGATTAGGGTTAACCTAGCTTTGATAGCAAATGATACCGGAACTAGTAGTAAAAGTAGTGGAAACACAAAAGCAAACTTTCATGAATAATAAAACAGGGTTACAACATGACTTGAATGAAAATAACACAAAACATAAAACAACACAACCAAACCCTCCTAAATGTATCCCAATGAAGGTCGGCTAGAGGGATAAGGATGACGATAACCACAGGAGGTGGGTGGTAGCGATGGGAAGGTGCAAAACCATATGGACAGTAAGTGGGAAGGGTTGTAGGTGGTCGGCAGCAGTTGTGCGGTGGTTGGGAGATGTAGAAAGGAGTTAGAGAGGTGGGACAAATATAGTAACCTACAGAAAGGGGGAATGGCTGGGTGTCGGGGTGATGGAAGGAGAGTTTGATGGCTGAGAAGTGGGGAGGAGAAGGTTTGAGGAAGGTAAAAAGGATGGATACAATTATCATCTCGGAGAGGATACAACCAAAGCACCACCACCTCCTCGGATACAACCCACAAAGGGGAAAGAATTTCACACAGGAATCTGAGAACAAACACAAACACTACTGACTCCCACACACACAAGGACAGCAATTTATAGGCTCCCAAGAAACTTCTTCACAAAAGAAAAGGACGGGAAGGTGAGAATGATCCATAAAAACCCTTCCCAAAATTCCTACATATGTCGCCCCACCTTTGCTTCGCGAAGGATCGCGGGACATCGCATGAGAATTGCGATCCCGCCCCGCCTACAGTTCCCGCTAGACTTGACGGGTCTTTTGACCCGTGGAATCTAAACGCCCCGTATCAAGGCGTTGATTTCAGCACCCACATCATATAGTCAGGTTCATTCTTTCACTCCAGCTACGCTTATCGCTTGCAAGATTGATCTTGTTCATCATTGATTTCGCTTGTGAAGTCAATTGCAGTATTAGTTGTCCTCTCAATGATAGCCACAATGAAGTACGACATCGAGAAGCTAGAATAGTCTACTAGTTTTGCTTTATGGCAAATCAGGATAGAAGATATCTTGGCTCAGTTATATCTAGAAGATACATTGTTCGGCATTGATCACATGCTGAGAAAATTGTCTGCTACAATAGAAGTGATATGAAGAGTTCAGCGAGGAGACTATGAAGATGATTGTCTTTTGTGATAATCATAGTGCAAAAATCTACAATTTGGAGAATCTCACTGACATGTCGACAAAGCTTCTTATAGCAACCAAGTACAAGGGTTGCTTGGAATTGATTGATGTTCGATGCAGACGAGCCCATGTGACTTTGGAGAGCGGAATGAAATTTGGAGCTTCACTTTTAGTGTAATTTCAAGGCAATGTGGAGATTTGTAATATAATGCCTAAAAATTTCCCACCAAATATATTTCTTCCGTAATTTATTGATATTATATGTGATATTTGCTATCAAATATATTTCTTGCTTAATATATTTGATAGCAAAAATATATTATGTCAAATATGTTATTTTGTAATTCTATAAATACACATGGCATATCATGGGTTGAGTGAGAGTTGATAAATCAAGTAAGAATTGAAAAATTCTGTATTCGGCTTAATTGTCGACCACCTTTTTTATTATTGAAGTATTTTACTTCGGCTCTTCCGCGTTTTTTTTTTTTCAGTTTTATGGGTTTAGGGTTTAGGGTTTAGGCTCTTCCGTGTTTTTTTTTTCTCTTTTATTTCTACATAAATTTTGTCATCTGGTTGTGTGATCGATCAAATTTGACGGCGATTGGTGTTATTTTTTTAATTATATATATATATATATATATAATCAACCTAACAAATGGGCTAAAATGAAATCAAATCTATGATGACATATACATTTACATACAAACCACACAATTCTCATACATATCTAACACCGTGACCTTTATAATTCAATACATGTTTTTAATATCATATTAAAAAATTCCATAATTAAAAATTTTTTAAATGTGAAATACACATTTTCATGTATAGATTTATTGGGCAATTCAATGTTTTTAAAAGAGTGCATCAAAATGTGTTTCATGAGCAAAATGAAGCGTGTGACGCCCCCTTTGCTTCGGTAAAGCGAGCTTTGAAGCGCTAAAGTTAATTTACATTTTTTTTGCAATTTAAAATTTTAATTATTGCAGCGAACTATTAAAAATTGTATGAAATTTTAAGATTCACCCTTAATTTGTAGATTTACCCTCAATGTCTAACTCCAAATTAGATATTTTACAACATATTTTTAATTTTATATCAAATATTAAGTTGTACTTTATATTTTATAATTGTTAATGAACATATTTATACATTAATAGTTCCATATAACCTATTAGCACTTTAGTTTATAAAAATGTCACTTCGCTCTGCACTTTGTGCTTTAAATAAAAAATAAAATAACTTTGATAACGCATGCCAACATATATACACCCAAATTCCTATGTATTTACATATCTAAGACTTAAACATAACTTTTACATTTATTACACCCAAATCTTTCACATCACATAAAAAATACCAATACTTCAATTTTTTAAAAGTGAAATAAACCTTTTCGTGCATAATTAAGGTGCCATAAATGTAATAATTAAATTTTAGATGTTAGCTATGTGAATATAAATAAATTGAACGGTGCGTATGTAAATCTTCCTATTTAAATACATGTCACTTGAATTTTCAATATTACATATAAAATACTTCTATTATAAACATTTTAAACATGAAATACACCTTTTCATGTATAGATATATTACACAAAAGTGTCATGAATGTAAATATCAAACTTAGGTATTAGATATGTAGTTACATAAAAATTGTGTTATGTATGTAAATTTCCTTATTTTCTTTTGTCTTGCATCATTGAACACCGAAAAGGCACAGCTAATGCTAACAGATACTAGTACAGACTTGTTGAGATGGAGAAAGAGAATACGATAAAAGTTCGGAGCATTTACATACATGCCATCCAATTTTTATGTATTTATATATCTAACACCTAAAATTTACCTTTTACATTCATAAAACTCAAATCTTTCAAATCACATAAAAAATACCACCATATTAACTATTAAAATGTGAGATACAACTTTTCATGCATGAGTAAGATGGTATGTAAGTAAAACTTGAAGTATAGGTGTTCAATATGTAAAAACGTAGGAATTGAGTGGCATGTATGTAAATTTCCCTAACAGTTTTAGAAGTCTGGAGAGAAAAAACTTTACCTTTATGCCCAAAGGATTGCACACCCCACGAAGAAATTCAACATGCGCGCCATCAAGTTGTCGAGTCCGCTCCCCAACCCACAACATATGCGCAGAACAATCATAGTAGAGACCGGTTGTTGAATCCTCCCGAGTGAGTGCTTGCTCATAAGGTAGGTGGAGACATTCATGTGATGTCCAGAATTCTGTTGTTGTCATTATAGGATGATCAGAAGTAAGACCAGCAGCAACCATGAATCCAATAGCTTCATCAACCCTTTGTGCCAACTCCATATATCTACACATAACAATCGAGTTAAGTGTCAAAATAGTCCGCTGACTATTTGCATGTGGTCACTTAATCCCAGGGTTAATAAAAGTGTTAAATTAGTCTACAAACTCTTTTAATGAGGGCTTTAAAAGAGTCTGGGGTTTAAATTGACACTTTTATAAACTCTGAGACTAAAGTGGCCCATTACAAAGAGTCTGTGGACTATTTTGACACTTTCTCCATAATAATTTAAATAAAGATTTTCAGCATATGAACATTTTACAAAAATCACAGTTTTATGAGCTGAACACATAAAAATGATCAACTATGACCATGTTCTACCCTTTCTCACCATATTTGCCTTATGGCATATTTACGTTTATTTTATCAACAACAATAGTATGATCAATAAGGAAAAACATTAATTTATGATTATAAAAATGATAACAAAAGATATTCAAAATAAGGTACCTTAACATATATTTTTGGTTGACTGTTGAAATAAGTAAAAAATTAAAATAATTGAGAGCAAATAAAGGATAAAAGATTTAGAATAAGTAGAATATAAGTGATATATATGATACATCAAAAAGTTGCGGATAAATAAATTGAGAGGACTAAAACAAGAGAATATTAAGATGTATGGGTGGCAAAACAAAGAAAATTATATTTAAGACTAAAAATACAAAACAAAGAAAATTATATTTAAAACTAAAAATACAAAAGGTTTGAAGAGAGGAGTATGTATTGAAGATGAAGTTGGCAAAAATAGAGATGTGATTTTGATAAATAGAAATGAAGAGTAGAATATGCATTAATATGAGGAATAACTAATGTTCAAATATTTGAAAAGAAAAAAAGAAAGATTAGAGTTCGCTTGGATAGAAACTATGTGGAAAGTTTGTGTGAACTAGGTGTAACACTTCATTTAAAATTTAGTGAGGATAACTATAGAATGAGGATTCATAAAGTTGACCCCAAATATTGGGGATAGTAGATAAGATTAGATTTTGATGTCAACATCATGTACCTACAAAATGTTACTCCTAAATTGCAAGTTCCTTAAACTAAAGCAAATCCCATGTAATAAAAATAAAAGAAAAAGGTAAGTCCAATGAAAATGACTAGTTAAACCTTTAAATGATTAAATGCTAGAAAAAAACATGTTATGTGAATATCTTGTGTGAATTGTATGCCAAAAAATTTCATGAAACAATAAAAATAATTATTTTAGACTAACAATTAGTAAACAATAGTTTTTTCAAGTTTACCAACCCCAACTCATTTGATATGTCCAAGTTTTGGTTCACACAATAAAAGCACTTTTCAATGGCCAATGAGATTAAACATCTTGATCCCATCAGCCTTGATGACTTATGTATGTTTATTAATAATTTAATTATCAAAAAAATTGTGTGGTGTCATTTAATGATTTACTAAGAGGTTGTTTGGGATCATTTTTGCTTTTTATTTTTATCTTATTTTGTTTATGTTTTGATTTGAAACAAATCATTTTTGGCTATTTAATTAAATTATGATTATTTTTTAAAACACTCAAAACATGTAAAAGCTATTTAGAGTAATTTAAAAACATTTTAATTTGTTTAAAGAAAACAAAAAAATAATAATAAAAATTACACTAAACAAATATGTTTTTAAAAACAAAAGGAAAAATCAAAAAACAAAAAACAAAATTGATCCCAAACAATAGCATTCTTTTAGTAACTCAATTAAGCATTATCTATGAAAATGATCATATCGAACAGACTAGTTTGGGCATTGGCAGTTGGAGAAATGCACAAGTTATAAAATTCATGAATGATGCAAGTGCAAAGGTTGATCCAAAGCTATATTAGTCAAGTGATTGTTTTTAGGATACTATTTCATTTAAATTGATTGTGTTGGATTAACCATGGATAGAAGTATGATTAGGACAAAAGTAGTATAAATAATATTTCAATTATAAGTATTGAATAACTATTTTAAGATACAAAAAAAAATATTCTATACTTTTCTATAAAGTTTAGGAATTAAATTAACTAAATTGTCCATTTATTCAATACATAACATGTTTATTAATTATGTAAATTGCTTTATTATTTTATTTTTCGTCGTGATGTGGATAAATTCTACATCTTAATAAATTTGATTGATCACTTAGCGTTTAAACAAATTTATATGATTTAAAGTTTTCTGTTTTATTTATTAAATTTGCTAAGTTTATTTTAATATAATATTTATGTTAATTATATTTTTATTTGCTTGATTTAAATATATGAGCTTCATAATATTTTGACTAGCATTTCTTAATTATGCTTTTACTTATCATAGCAAATTAAACTGATTCCAAAAATTTCATTTGTTTTATTAAATTTGCTTAACTAGGCTAAATATGTGTTTACGCTAATTAATTAGAGGTTTATAGTATATTAATGAATTTGTTTTTCATTCTTACTTCATTGAATTCTGAGTTGTTTACTAGGATTTAATATATTATGAAATTATAAACCTTATGGGGTTGTTTGGTCACAAAAGAAACACATTGCATTCCTCCTAAATCTCACTGTTCGGTCAGAAGAAAATAAAAGAAATGTAAAATTACAATGAATTTGGAGTTCATTCTCAAGTTCAGACACAATTTATTTGATATTTATTATTTTGAGTGAATTTCAAATACATTGCTTTAAATAAATCACATGTCGCCAAGTAGGGCTATCAAAAAAGTTTGTCGTTCGCGAACAGCTCGTGTTCTGTTTGTTCAGTGGCCCTTGTTCGATTCATTCGTCAAGCAAGTGAACCGAACACAAAATCATTTTGAGCTCGCTTTATAAGCGATCGAACATGAACAAAATTTTGTTTCTTCGTGTTCGGCTCATTTTGGCTCAAAATTATTAAAAATTTTAAAATTTTAAAATTTAAATTCATATCATTTTATTATATATATATATATATATATATATATATA